GGCTCACACGTGACGTTCTTTCTAGTCTGTGACCATCTGACACGTATTTATGGACTTCGTGTCCCTTCATTTCTGAGTATGGGTAATTTCCTACAAAAATGACAAACGTGAGAAGGGCTTCCTTTTAATTCTGCAAGCTAATTGTACCTTCAAAGAAATTCGTTTCATTTCTCTCAGATTTAGAGGGCTATTTCTACTGAACCATAGCTGAAATCAACGTCAAGGCTTGTTTTTCCATAAGCAGCGATGGTCTGATGGGCGGCTGTGCTCGACAAATCGAAACATTACCATATTGACTTCCGATGGTAACTTCCCACCCACCCAACTCCCTTCCCCCTCCCCCCCACTTTGCCCTTTTCAGGAGAATCCCATACGATCATACCATCATACCTTCGGTAATGACGGTTTCTCTACCAATCCCTCAGGATCAATACTTGTCATTTTAACAGGGATTGTCTGTCACCATTTCTGAATACTCTCCTGTCCACCAAAAGATGTTTTTTCACCCAGGTTAGGTTACGTCACATTGACAAACTCGGTGCAGTAAGTAAAATCGGTGTTAAAAAAACCTCTTGTCTCCCACAAAAGTTTCAAAAATTTCACTTACCGAGTGTAAATATTTCATACAGGACAATGCCATAACTCCACCTAAAAACAAAAGAGAGACACGAAAAGACGTTTACGAGATTTCTTAATCGCATTTATGATGCATGATACCATTTATTTCAGATTTTTTTTTTCAGTAAGCGAAGAGCATTTGCATACTTTTACCATTGTAAATATTCTGAATTCGAGGAAATTTTGTGTTTTGGTAATCACGTAGCTGTCGAGCAGAAAGTAAATAAAGAGGAAACATTAAAGATCAAATTTCTTTATGATTAAATATTTCATTATCACAACGTACTTCAAAAATATCCTATACAATAATTTTGAGAAAAAAGCTATCGTATATACTTTAAGAGATTGTAAACTGGTCTCTTGATTAAAGTTATCTGTTCCACTTACACGTCACTTTTTGTGGTAAAAACTTCTCTATCCAGGGATTCAACTGCCATCCACCGCAGTGGTTCAACTCCCTGTGAAGTGACGCATAACTTTTGAGCACAAATCACAGGAAGCAGTTTTTAATGAAGTTTGGCGTTTCTTTAGTCTTAGATATTTGAGTTTCGCCGAATCAAGTCTAAGAAGTGACGAGTTCCTGGTCTCGGGAAGGTGGAAGGGGGAAGGGGGTCGGAGGCAGTGGGCTCTCTCTTAGTTTATAGGTGACTTTACTCTTACCTTCGATTTTCTGACATAAATTTGCGCCTCGCCTCCGTGTCTTGTCA